AATATTCCACACTATTACCCAATTCTTTGGACAGATTTTCCCGGCCCCTAAGATCATGGACTTAGGGCACATGCACGCATAAGTGAGGGAGGGGCAAGAGAGAGGAAGAGAGCCCGATGTGGGGCTCAAACCCACGAGAACCCACGAACCGTGAGATCACGACCTAAACCGAAGGAGGATGTTTAACCCATTGAGCCACCCAGGGGCCCCTCACTGACTTAGTTTTACTGTGGGACTCTTCAAATTTGGGACAACGGTTAGGGACTGGACTTTGGACTACTGCCTGCTCAACTATTACAGAATTTGCTACCATAATCCGACCTACTTTCTGGGTTTGGACTTCCTCTACTCCCGGCTTTCAGCAGATCAGCTCACCAGGCAGTTAATGTCCTCACCACTGGACTCTGATTCCTTTGCATCACAAGGGTGGATTGTAGTGTAAACCCTGACAGTTTTTGTTTTTTGCTTTTCTTTTTGGTAATGCAAGGGCTTGACTTAAGCTGTGATTGCTGAGGCATCCACTTCAAAGACAGTATCTAGAATAAACACTTGCCAGCCACGTGACTAGATAAAGAACCAAACCACCTCCTTTGTTTGAGAGATCTTGGTCTGATTGTAACTGACCATCAGGCCACCTGGGTTTTTTTTTTTCCTCTTGTGATTTAAATTTCTGCTCTTAAGTTTTAAATCCACCATCATGAGTGTGAGCCAGTAAATCACAGACCCCCACCCTTACCTCAATAAGAACCCAAGCGTGTCCTCTCTCTACCGAGGACATGTGTGACATACGCAGATGTATGATCCCAGGTGAGCTGTAGAACTTCCAGATCCTCTAGGTTATAAGGTCTTTCCCCCCCCCAAAGTTTCCTGGTAGTTATTGCTGATCATAACAGGAGCCATAAGGGCCAGTCCCGCCTCAGATGGTGCTAAGACCCAGCACAAAACACAGGCGAATCAGGAGCCTGGCAGACTCAGCGGGTAAAGCACTTCACTCTTGATCTTGAGGTTGTGAGTTCCAGCCAAACTAGTGTACCTAAACGAATAAACCAGACGCAGGCAAACGGATAAACAATTACTGGTAAACCCACAGGATGAAACAGTCTTCCGTTACAAAAAGAAATGAGATTCGAAAGCCAAAGCCACATGGAGAAAACGTAAAATCCTACTCCTAAGCGAAAGAAGCCAATCTGACAGCCCTGTAGGACTCCAAGCATATGACATTCTGGAAAAGATAAAAGATGGTAAAAGAGGGGCGCCTGGGTGGCTTAGTCGGTTAAGTGTCCGACTTTCGCTTAGGTCATGATCTCGCGGTTCGTGGGTTCGGGCCCGCGTCGGGCTCTGTGCTGACTGCCAGCTCAGAGCCTGGAGCCTGTTTCAGTCTGTGACTCNTGTGCTGACTGCCAGCTCAGAGCCTGGAGCCTGTTTCAGTCTGTGACTCCCTCTCTCTCTCTCTGACCCTCCCCTTCTCACGCTGTCTCTCTCTCTCCTAGAAATAAATAAAACATTAAAAAAAAAAAAAAAAAAGATGGTAAAAGATCCTTGGCTGCTGGGGAATGAACAGGTGGGGCACATGACATTTAGGACAATGAAAATATTCTATATGACGCAGAAATGATGAAATCGGGTCTATTCATGTTAGCTGAAGACCTGACGTCCGTGTAAGTGTCAACCCTACTGTAAACGATTTCAAAGGTGGCTCATCAAAATAACAAATGCAAATGCACCAGAGTAATAGGAGATAAAAAATATATGATGGGTGGGGGTCCCAGCTGGCTCAGCTGGATAAGTGTGAAACTCTTGATCTCAGGGTTGTGAGTTCGAGCCCTTCACTGGGTGTAGAGATTCCTTAAAAAAAAAAAAAAAATTTAAAAAACCCACCTCTGCTAATGTGTGTGTGTGTGTGTGTGTGTGTGTGAGACACACACACACTTATTTATTTATAAATATACAACAGTGTCCAGACAGAGGGGTTATGTGGGAAGCCTCTACACTTTATAATCAAGCTTTCTGTCACTGTAAACCCTCTTTAAAAAGAAAAGTCTAGGGGCACCTGAGTGTCTCAGTCCGACTCCTGGTTTCTGCTCAGGTCATGATCTCATGATTCGGGAGTTCAAGCCCAGCATCTGGGTCTGCACTGACAGGGCAGAGCCTGCTTAGGATTCTCTCTCCCACTTTCTCTGTGCTCCTCCCCTGCCTGTGCTCTCTCATCTCTCTCTCTCTCTCAAAATAAATAAACATTTAAAAAAATCAAAACAGGGGTGCCTGTGTGGCTCAGTTGGTTAAGCATCCGACTTCAGCTCAGGTCATGATCTCACAGTTCGTGGGTTCGAGCCCCGCGTCGGGCCCTGTGCTGACGGCTAGCTCAGACCCTGGAGTCTGTTTTGGATTCTGTGTCTCCGTCTCTCTCTGACCCTCCCCTGCTCACGCTGTCTCTCTCCCTCTCTCAGAAATAAATAAAACATTAAAAATTTTTTTAAAAATAAATAAAAAATAAAAAAATAAAAACAGAAAGAAAAGTCTACAAGGCAAAAAAAGATGATGAACACAGATGTGTTAATATTCATCCCTGGTGATAGGAACAGAACATCTTTAATTAATCTGAACTTATTTCAATAACCCACGATGGTGCTCCTCCAGGCCTGCAGCCTGAGACGAGAAGCTTCCGCTCAATGCCTTGTTCCACAGCCCAGCTTTACAAATTCTGAGAAGGAGGCCGCCTGAGTGGCGCAGTCCACTGAGCCTGGGATCTTACAGTTCAGGAGTTCGAGCCCCGCATCGGGCTCTGTGCTGACGGCTAGCTCAGAGCCTGGAGCCTGCTTCAGATTCTGTGTCTCCCTCTCTCTCTGACCCTCTCCTGCTCATACTGTCTCTCTCTCTCTCAGAAATAAATAAAACATTTAAAACAACAAACAATCTGCACTTTGACTACACCTGCCCTGTGTCTGCAAAACTCCAAGCTAGGCCTGCAAACAGGCCCAGGGCAATGGAGGCTACACTCCGGAAAGGCCTCAACTGCCTCACCTCCCCACCCCCGCCCTGCCCCACACCTGCTGCCGAGTACCCTCCCAAATTTCCACCAGTCTGTAGCTTAGCTCGGAATAAAGGACATCCCAAGGTGGCTGAGAGCAAACAGGACACCTACAGAACGAGAGACCCCAAGAACAACTGGGTCTTCAAGTACTTGCTTTTGCAGGTTTAAGGGGGTCTTAGCTTAAGATGCTCCAGGCTGGCTCAGTCAGTAGAGTCTGTGACCTCTGGTCTTGGGGTCATAAGTTTGAGCCCCATGCTGGTTAGAGCGTTCACTCACCAAAAAAAAAAAAAAAAAAAAAAAGGGATCTAATAAGGGAGTCTTTGCTTAGAGACCCTGACCTCAGGCTTCTGCCTCCCCCTGGAGGCGGGTTGAACACCACTGATATTTTAAATCCCACAAACCCAGTGTGAAGAGGCCAGGAAAAAATCAAACCCAGTGTTTATGCGGAAACAGAGAGGAAAATTAGAAGGCACTCTGCTATTTCAACAGGAACCCCTACAAGTAATTACTGCATTCCTGGGGGGCGGGGGAGGGAAGGTGTTAATTATTCTTTCCAAGGCAAGTAATTGTATTATAAAATCATATTTGATTCAAGAATCAGAGGCGCCTGGGTGGCTCAGACCGCTAAGCGCCCAACTGTGGCTCAGGTCATGATCTAGCAGTTGGGGAGTTGGAGCCCAGAGTCCAGCTCTGGGCTGACAGCTAGGAGCCTGGAGCCGGCTTTGGATTCGTGGGCCCCTCTCTCTGCCCCTCCCCCACTTGTGCTCAGTCTCTCTCTCTCTCTCAAAAATAAACAAACATTAAAAGAAGGAAAAGAATCATAGTTCTGATTCGCACAGCTAAGCCCTGGATATCCGTTTGAACTCACCCAAAATAAAAGAACAGACCTCCGAATATTACCAGCCTCACGGGGGAGGAAAAAAAAAGGGAAACAAGAATTTTTAAGACGCGCAACTATAGTACTGGACTCTTTCTGAAATCACCTCCTTCTCGCCTCTTCGGAAATACTTCACACTGTGTTTCGAGCTCTACTGATTACACGAATTTTCAGACATTGAAAAACTAAGACTAAAATAAAGTGAATACATCGTTTAAAAGCGACTTGCGCGCAGAGGGGCAGCACTGACCCGGACGTGTGCTCACAGCAGAGGACACTCGGGAAAGTTTCAAAGAGGAACCGCCACCCAAAGGACTTCCCATAGGATGTCTGTGCCCCAGGAAAGATCCTGGGGGCGGGGGGTAGGCACAAGGATTTCACACAAAGTTCCAGGTAATTATTCTCGGCGTTTCTCTCAAAGTCAAATATCCACATAGAAGATAAGCCTTTAAAAGAAAAAAAGCTCTGCAGACACTGGGGCTCAATAACGAGCTAATAAAATGCTGGGTCTGTTTGAAATACACCCACAGGACCAATGGTTGATAATGATGCTGTGAACTGGAAAAGGGAAGCTGGCGTTAGGGAAGGCGGGAAGGAACTAGAAATGTAGGTATTTACTGCTTGCCCAAGGGAGAGCTAGGCTGGGGGGGTGCAACGGGGGCAGAGTCATAAGATTTCAGACCGTGTTTCCCAAACATTGGAACGCTCAGGAGAAAATGAGCCCGCCGTGGGGAACAAGGAGGTACTGGGGACCCCAGAGATCACAGCTCCTCCCACGCACAAACGCGGAGTCATGATTGTCCCCTGACGACCCTCCCCGCGGTCGCCACACAATCGGAGGAGACGCGGCTGCGGGCGCAAAGCTGCCCAGAGTCTCTGGGGCCGAAGTCGCCGTGCACGGGACGGGGCAGCCCGGACGCCAGGGTCCCCGCTGCCGGCCCAGCACCCAAGCCCGAGGGGACCCAAGCGCCGCCAGCCAACTCGGGTCCGCGGACTCCGGAGATGACCGCGGGGGTCCCGCCAACAGCCGGTTCCGGCCGGTTCCAACCGGCCCCTCAGCGCCTGTCTCTGGACCCCAGGAGGCACGCTCACCATTTCTAGGTTTCCCGGGTCCGCCGGCGGCCGTCCTTAGGAAACCGCCCACGGTGTAGCTCACAGCGCGAAATAACGGCGGCTGAGCAACGTGGCACCTTTAAATGCAGGCGACCCGCGATCCCTGGGGAGGCTGTAAAGCGCAGGGACGTCCGGGGTGGTTGCGGAGCGGCGCCCCGCCCACCGCGCCGCCGCCGCCCCCTGATTGGGCGGTTCTCAAGGCCCCGCCCCCTCACGCCTGAGTGACAGCGGGCGCGGGGGTTTAGGTGTCCGAGCCTAACACCGGTCAGGAGGCGCCCTATCCAGGAGCTTGTCCACTCCTAGAACTCTGATCCTTCTTTGCAAACACAGAAACTTCAAAATCATCTCTCCAAGGGCGCCAGGTGGCCCAATTGGTTAAGCGCGCGACTTCAGCTGCGGTGGTGATCTCACCATTGGTGGGTTCGAACCCTACCTTGGACTTTGCGCTGATAGCTCAGAATCTGCTTTGCATTCTGTCTCCCTCTCTCTGTCCCTCTGCTGCTCGTGCTCTCTCCCTCTCTCTCTCTCTCAAAATAAGTGAACATAAAAAGAAATTTTTTTCAAGTCGCCTCTTGTGTCAGACACAATAATCTAGCTCCCTTTCGGTCTTCGCTGTTGAAAAATGGGAGTCTGACAGTTACTTTTGCCAAAAAGGTGCACAGGCAGATAGCGAGGATGCATTAGGTGGGCATCCTTCCAGAATTTAGGTCAGATTCAGAAAAACGTCACTGGAACCAAAAATAAACTATCCCTTCAGATGAAAAATGACTTCTGGGCTTAGAATGGTTACATTTAGAAAATGTTTCTGAAGGGGCGCCTGGGTGGCGTAGTCGGTTAAACGTCCGACTTTCGCTTAGGTCATGATCTCGCGGTTCTTGGGTTCGAGCCCCGCGTCGGGCTCTGTGCTGACTGCCAGCTCAGAGCCTGGAGCCTATTTCAGAGTCTGTATCTCCCTCTCTCTCTGACCCTCCCCTGCTCACGCTGTCTCTCTCTCTCTCTCTCTCTCTCTCTCGCTCTCCTAGAAATAAATAAAAATATTAAAAAAAATGTTTCTGAAAATGAAAAATTGGGAGCCCATGGGAAACAAGCAGGGACTCTTTCTTACTGGTGATTCACTCACGACCCCGTGGTCATGATCCTTCCCTTTCTAGTGATCACACGATTTAATCTGTCTACAATGAAATTTACCAGACAACTGGGTTCCGACAGCATAGCAATCCCACTGATTGGTGAGGCTAGGATACCAGAGTAACCATCATTCTGACAATGATGGAATCACTCTGTGACAGGCATCCTTCCCATACAGCATGCAAAACTACCATTTCTGACCATTTCCCCTCAGTTCCCTGAGATCATCAGAGATGCACTGCCCCATCTAAATCCTCCCAGACTGCAGACATATCTCCACCGTGTCCAGGGCCCGAGCCACTGAGGGGGAGACCTCAAGAACTGTAACTGATCTCAATGAAAAGAGACAAGTAGAGCCAGTTTTCTTTTTTTTCTTTTTGTAAAAATACACGTGCGTGTATACCACATCTTCTTTATCCATTCATTGATTAATGGACATCTGGGCTATTCCATACTTTGGCTGTGGTTGATAGCGCTGCTATAAACATTGGGGTGCATGTGCCCCTTCAAAACAGCACACCCGTGTCCCTTGGATAAATACCTAGTAGTGCAATTGCTGGGTTGTAGGGTAATTCTAGTTTTAGCTTTTTGAGGAACTTCCATACTGTTTTCCAGAGTAGCTGCCCCGGTTTGCATCCCCACCAGCAAATGCAAAAGAATTCCTCTTTCTCCGCATCCTCGCCAATGTCTGTTGTTGCCTGAGTTGTTAATGTTGGCCTTTCTGACGGTGTGAGGTGGTATCTCCTTGTGGCTTTGATTTGTATCTCCCTGATGATGAGTGACATTGAGCATTTTTTCATGTGTCTGTTGGCCATCTGGATGTCTTCTTTGGAGAAGTGTCTGTTCATGTCTTTTGCCCATTTCTTCACTGGATTATTTGTTTTTTGGGTGTTGAGTTTGATAAGTTCTTTATAGATTTTGGATACTAACTCTTTATCCGATATGTCATTTGCAAATATCATCTCCCATTCCGTTGGGTGCCTTTCAGTGTTGCTGATTGTTTCCTTCGCTGTGCAGACGGTTTTTATTTTGATGAGGTCCCAATAGTTCATTTTTGCTTTTGTTCCTCTTGCCCCCAGAGACGTGTTGAGTAAGAAGTTGTGCGGCCGAGGTCAAAGAGGTTTTTACTTGCTTTCTCCTCGAGGATTTCATGGCTTCCTGTCTTACATTTAGATCTCAAAGTCCCTTTAGTCACTATGGCTGGCACACTAGACATGCTATATTGAGGTTGTATATGGTAAGAACAGGTGGTTGTTGTCGATCTCTAATCATGGCAAACATGAGGGCCAGAACGTACGTAGGGTGTTGGTGCATCCATCGACCTGCACTGGGAAAGTCCCTGAAATCTCAAGACCCATCCAATAAGATGGTCTCTTTAGCCATCAAGGGCTCTCCTTTGGGGCGCCTGGGTGACTCAGTCAGTTAAGCGTCCAACTTCGGCTCAGGTCATGATCTCACAGTTCATGGGTTTGAGCCCTGCGTCGGGCTCTGTACTGACAGCCAGCTCAGAGCCTGGAGCCTGCTTCGGATTCTGTATCTCCCTCTATCTCTGACCACTCCCCCCCACCCCCCACTCATGCTGCCTCTCTCTCTCTCTCTCTCAGAAAGAAATAAAAACATTTAAAATTTTAAAAAAAAAAAAGAGCTCTCCTTACAGAACTCAAGGAGTTCTTTGTACATATGGAGATATTTTCCCCATGACCTTGAACTATACCCCTAATGAAATGGGTTACCCAAGGTTCAACAAGCTGCTCTCAGCTGTGAATGAAACACAAGGGAACACAAAATCCTACTTGTGGTGGAAAACATGAACTATCTTTAAATGGCAAACGTCAAGAGAGAGACTTGCATTTTTAAAAAATTGCTTCTTCATGGTCTGAAATATTGACATGGTGTTTGAGGTAGGACTGGGTAGAACAATCAAATTGTTCTACCTGAGGGGGAAGGCATGAGTTGCCAAAACCAAGTAATCACAGCATTTACTTCGTGAAGGTTTCAAAGTACAAGAAAGTACCACCCAAACAAGAAATGAAAGTAGTCATCACAGAATGTTATTATTTTTTAAATGTGTATTTATTTTTGAGAGAGAGAGAGAACATGAACAAGTGGGGGAGGGGCAGAGAGAGAGGGAGATAGAAGATCTGAAGCAGGCTCCATGCTGACAAGAGAGAGCACAATGCGGGGCTCAAAGGGGCGAACCTCGAGATGGAGATCATGACCTAAGTTAAAGTCAGACACTTAACTGACTGAGCCACCCAGGCGCCCCCACAGAATGTTATTAAAAACATTACTTCAGAGTACCTGGGTTACTCAGCTGGTTAAGCATCCGACTTCAGCTCAGGTCATGATCTCACGGTTCATGAATTCAAGCCCCATGTCAGGCTCTGTGCTGACAGCTCAGAGCCTGGAGCCTGCTTCAGATTTTCTCTCTCCCTCTCTCTGCTCCTTCTCTGCACATGTTCTCTCTCTCTCTCTCTCAAAAACAATAAACATTAAAAATTTTTGAAAAAAAATACATTTGAAAAACTGAAAAATGTAAATATATCATTGATAATAATAAAAGATAGAGAAATACCAATAATATAGGGGAAAAGGTAATATTATTAAGAGTTTAAATTGTTTTTATAAGTCAAAAACAAAATATGTTTCAATAAAGACATTCAAAGGTCATTCATAAACCTTACAAAATTATAAATTATACATGCCTAGAAAGTTACGAAAATAGATTAGCTCATTAGATCCAAGATATGCAGTGGAAATAGATGTACTTATTAATGAGCAAAATATTTATGCTGGTTTCCTAATACTTGTATTAAGGCATATTCTGGTGGGAAAAGCAAGTGGGTGCTTCTTGATCTGTTCCCCACCAAAACAGTCACCCCGAAATAACACTTTATCCATGGAGGAATTGCAGAGATAAATTTTATCATCAAAGATCTGAGAGATACAGGGGTGCTTTTTTAACTACATCCTCTCTCTTTTTTTTTTTTAATGTTTATTTATTTGAGAGAGAGAAAGAGAGAGCATACAAGAGTGGGAGAGGGGCAGAGAGAGTGGGAGAGAGAGGACCCAAAGCAGGCTCTGCACTGACAGCAGTGAGCCTGTGGTAGGAACCCCTCCCTAAGGAGAAAGAAAAAAATCGAAGAAGAGAGAAGAGAAGACTTCAAGGTCACCTAGATATGAGTCCAGCTGCCTACATCCCCCATGTTCTTGTAAACTGAAACAACTTAATCAGACTACATGTTTATGTGTATTACCATATATGGGAGACGAAGAAATAGAAAATGCATAAAAAACCCTATGCCATATGATGTGGGCCGCTCAGTTCTTTTGGGTACGAACCCAACTGAGCGGTGCCGGCAAAATAAAGTTGCTTCCTGGAAAGAAAAGTCTCGGTGT